CTAGCCAATTAATCAACCAATCAATCAATCAATCCTTCTCCAATGGGAAAAAGTAAAGGGACTGGGGAGCTGGGGAGATAGCTCAGTGGCATAAATGCTTACCTGGCAAGCACAAGGTCCTGAGTTCATTCCCCCTTACAAAAACAAAAAAGGCTGGGGAGGAGGCTCCATGGTAGAGTTTTTTTTTTTTTTTTGGTGGAACCAGGGATTGAACTCAGGCCCTTGTGCTTGCCAGGGAAGCGCTTATTCCACTGAGCCATCTCCCTGGCCCTGCAGAGTTCTTGCTTTGCATGGCTACTGATTTTTTTTTTTTTTTGTTTGTTTATTTACTTATTTTGCAGTGCTGGGGATGGAACCCAGGACCTCATGCATACTAGGCAAGCACTGTAGCACTGAGCTACATCCTCAGCCCCTTCTTGCTTTGTATGCACAAGGCCCTGGATTCCACCTCTAGCACCACACACACACACACACACACACACACACACACACACACACATACAGAATAAGGATGTGGGCTACAGTCACTCTCTTTGCCAGTAGAATAAGAAAAAGTAGAGGAATGTCACAGAAGGTAGTCAAATGCTGACCATTTGCAGATTACTCGGTTGTTGAGGAATTTGTGTATTGTGTATAGTACTGGGGATCAAACTCAGGAACACTCTGCCACTAAACTACGTTCCCAGCCCTGTTTATTTATTTTGAGAGAGATTTCACCAAATTGCCCAAGGTGACCTTGACCTTAGGATCCTCCTGCCTCTACCTTCTGAGTGGCTGGAACTAGAGGTGCATGTGCCACTTTGCTCAAATAGGGTAAGAAAAAAATTAAATCCTCAGATAGACTATTAAAATGAATAAATGTGCACTTCCCTGGCAAACGCAAGGGCCTGAGTTCAATCCCTGGTTCCGAAAATAAAATAAAATAAAATAAAATGAATAAATGTGGGTGTCTGCTTCTGGCCCCTCCTGCCTTATGGGGAAAAGCAGACAGAATGCATGAGACGAGTCTCTGAACCTGGACAACTGGTGGCAGGAGGGAAAGAAACAGCAGAGCCTTGCACCTGTGCCCTCACTGCTGGGAGTGACTTTGCACCCTCCAGCCAGGGCCGCAGGGCCCAGGCCTTCACCCAGCTGCACACTCAGGGCACTCACCTGGCGGGTGTGTGCAAGAGGGAGACACAGTCGGAGCCTGGGAGACCTCAAGGATCCCCTCTCATCTAGGCTGGGCTTGAACTTCTGATTCTCCTGTGTCAGCCTCCCAAGGGGTGGGATTATAGGTATGCATCACCACACCCCATAAAACTTTTTTTTTTTTTTTTTGGAACAGGGGATTGAACTCAGGCCCTTGCCCTTGCCAGGGAAGCACTTATTCTACTGAGTCATCTCCCCGGCCCCCAAAATAATACTTTTTTAAAAAGGAAAAAAAAAAAAAAAAAAAAAAATCCAGGCCCTGATAACTTTGCTAGTGAATGCTATCAAAAAGTTAAGGAAGAATTCTAGGCTAGGCGTGGTGGTACATACCCATAATCCCAGGAAGGCTGAGGCAAGAAGATTGCCATGAGTTCAAGACCAGCCTGGGCTACAAAGTGAGCTCAAGGTCAGCTGGGACAACATAGTAAGACCCTATCTCAAAAAAAGGAAAAAAAAAAATCCTATTTCTACACAAATTCTTCCAGAAAATAGAAACGAGAGAATATTTTCCAACTCATTGTTTGAGATCAGCATTTCCCTGATACCAAAACCAAAGGCACTGTAAAAAAAAAAGAAAGAAAATTATGGGCTAGTTTTAAATGATTATTCTCATAATCCCAGCTCTTGGGAGGCTATAAACAGGTGGATCACTACAAGTCCCATTTAGTAGTGAGACCCTGAACACCCTGTAGACCCTTCCCTAAAATACAAAATAAATAAATAAATAATAAATCATTCTCTGATATGTGATTAGACTAGAATATTTGATGTAATAATGACATCATAAGATGCACAATGGATCTTATGAGAAAATATTTATGTGATGCTTAGAAAAATGGTGTGGGGGGTTGCCAGTGTCTGTACGTAGAGATGTGGGAATGGAAACTTCAGATCATATGCTATACTTTTTTTTTTTTAGTGGAACCGGGGATTGAACTCAGGGCTTTGTGCTTGCCAGGGAAGCTCTTACTTTACTGAGCCATCTCCCTGGCCCCCATACTTTATATTTTTATAGTCTGAATTTTTATGATGAACAGGAATCTGTAAGAGTAAAATACATCTGTATTCATTTTGAAAATGTAATATATGTTCCCTAAGGCCTGAAAGATATAAAGATCAGAATCAGTGTCAGATGGTTAAAGAAGAGACAAAAGCTGGGGGGTGGCACACACCCATAATCCCAGCTTTTGGGAGGCTGAGGCAGGAGGTTCACTGAGTTCCAGGCCAGCCTGGGCTACAAAGTGAGTACCAACCTGAACTACATAGTGAAACCCCATGTCAAAAACAACAGCAACTAAAGCAATGCAAACCAAAAGCCCAAGGTCAAGGCAGCAGGCATTCCCTTCACTATATCCCTCTTTTCTATGTCCTCTGTTCCTGGGAAAAATAAAGCGCTTCCTATTTAAGGGTTTCCCTGGGGCTGGTGAGATGGCTCAGTGGTCTAAAGCACCTATTTAGAACAAGCTTAGCAAAGCACAGGGACCACGGTTCAATCCCCAGCACCACATGCCAGCCAGCCCCGCCCCCTGGTGGGCTGAGCTGGCCACACACACACACACACACACACACATAAATAAATAAATTTAAATTAAAAAAAAAAAGAGGGTTTCCCTGTTGGTGGCCACTGGCCTGTTACCTGCCTACCAAGTTGGAGGAGCAGGAAACCCACAGCCTCTGTCCTTACCAAGCCTCAGGCAGCATTTTCTCTGGCTTCTAACACTTTTTTTCCTTTTCCCTTTTCCTTCCTTTTTTTATTTAATAATTTTATTGAGAATCAAATAGCAATGAGACAGCTTCAACACTGATCAGTAGGACAGTTTCAGTAATTAATACACTGTATATTGTTGTCTTCTAAGTGATTATTTGTAGTACAAGCTACAACCATGATATCCTATCCACAAACACTATTAGTACAAATCTTTCTATTCATTAAGAGAAAGTAACTGTATCTATCCTATTTTGAATATACAGATACAAAATGGTCCTTAATTTTTTTTTTTTCTGGAACTGGGGATTGAACTCAGGCCCTTGCACTTGCCAGGGAAGTCTTATTCTACTGAGCCATCTCCCCAACCCCTTGGTCTTTCATTTGTAGCCCCTTTTTTAAAAAATTTTTTTCCCATAATTTTATTGAGAAACAAATAGCAATGAGACAGTTTCAAATCAAATTGGTAAGACAGTTTCAATAATTAATACATGTATCCCTTTTGTTTAGTTTTGTCAGAGAAGGGTATTCCATTGTCATTTAAATATTGTAGGTGCGTGAATTCAGCAAAATATTCCAATATAGTCCAGTAGTCCATAATAGTATTGGGTTATCTGCAGGACTGGCAATGTCAGAAGTTGTTGACTTGAGCCTTTTACAGCTCAGCTCACTAATATGGCTTTACTTTATACACTTCGTTTTTATGCTTTTCTGCTGTATGGTTAAGACTAAGATAAAGCAAGACCTATATAACAAGAAATGTAACGTGTGCATCTGACAAGGTCAGTCAAATCCCCTCAGGATTTATCCTGTAGCCTTGTAGTGCACTCTGTAGATCCTTTGTCAGTGTCAGCCATGTGGATGAGTCACAGCCATTGCTTGACCAATTTGCTCTCTGTGAAAGCCTGAGAGAATGTTTTTTCTCCATGAGACTCTCCTTAGGCACATTCCACATTATCGACCACTTTCCTCTGTAGCCCCATAATCTCCCTGACCAGAAAATTTGGGACACAAATGAGTCACACAATGTTACAGTACAGGTTCTCCTAAGTCCTGTGTCCTTACTAACCTTGAAAGGCTAGGGCCAAAATGTTGGCTCTCCTTGTAGTCCTTCTTTTTCTCTAATTTTTGGTCTGCAAACTGAAGTTGTTAACGCTTCAGAAGAGAAGCTTATTATTATTACCCTACAACATAGGCAGTTGAGCTTAACCTCACTATCTGTCTGAATATCAAACACCTTAGACATAACATGGAACAGGTATTTTCCATCAAGTATTGATTGCTATGTTAAACTTTAAGTCCCTACAGAATATAAAGAAAAAAAAATTAAAAAATAGGAACAATTACATATTTTTACACAGAAATTTAGAAATCTAACCATACACAGCATTGTAGCAGGACAGTCCTATGACTTTTTTTTTTTTTTTTCTTGTCTCTTGTTTTCATTTATTACCCTTTTTTTCCCCTTCATACAGCGTCTCACTACCTATGTAGCCCAGGCTGGCTACTCTCTTGTTCTTGTGTGTTTTTGAGACAGCTGGCCTCAAACTCATAGTGATCCTCCTGTCTCAGCCTCCTGAGCACTAGGTGACCGAGGAACCTACTTTCTAGTAGGTGACGATGCAGAGGGAAAGATAGCATTTCAGACCCTAAGACACATTTGACAGCCTGGGCAGGGTGCTGACCCAGGGAATGGCTGGCTGGGTAGGGTCTTCCTTCTGAGTAAAAGCACTAATGTCTCTGACAGGGACACTGGTGATAAGAGGGAGACAGCTATGAGAAAGGGTGCTCTGGTCAAAGAGCACAGAAAGACAGAGCCCCAGTCCAAGAACAGAAACAGCTGGTGTGACTAAAGCACCAAAAGTAAGGATAGACAAACGAGTTAGAGATGGAAGACAGGGCTTGCACTCTGTGGGTGACCACACTATACCTTCAAACGTTCAAGGGGACAGACATCCGGTCTTGGAGACCTTTTCCACTTATGTGTCCGGAACAAACAGAGGTACTTGTGATACCAATCACCCAGAGACCAGATGACACGTGTGGTCCTTTCCTGAACTCAGCACTCTCCCAGCAGCCCCCTCTGGCACAGAGAACTGCTTACCCCTTAGATGAAGGTGGGTTTGTCCTTGACACCAAAATTCCAGAGCATGACATCGCCCCCTTTGGAGGCCACAGCCAGGGTGCTGGGGTGCGCTGGGTGCCAGGCCAGAGCTGTGGCCCTCCTGTCAAAAGGGGAAGCCTTCTGGGCTATCCGGTAAGCAGCCAGGGAGTGCACGAAGGACTGTTGCAGATTCTAGCATGGAGGGAGAGAGCAGGAAGTAGGGTCACTGACTTAAAACCCCAGTCCTGGATAAACCACCGCCCTTCACCTCCTTCAGAGAGTTGCCCATGCCTGGCCTGAAGTCCTCTGCAGTGGACTTGAACTAATCATGGAAGGTCAGGAGCAGAGTACATTCCAACTAACACCTTTATTTTTCTATGTTTAGTTTTTTTGTTTTATTTTGTTTGAGACAGAGTCTGGCTATGTAGCTCAGGCAGGCCTTGAACTCATTATGTAGTCCAGGCTGGCCTCAAACTTGCAGTGATCACCTGCCTCAGCCTCCCGGAGTACTGAGATTACAGGCATGCAGTACCATACCCAGCTCACACCACCTTTACAGTGCAAGACTCTTCTTGGCTGAGTGCCCTGGAGCCCATGCTGCAGAGTCTGAGCAATGTGACAGCCTGCTGATCCAACCCATCATCCTGCAGGAAAAAGGCAGTGTAGAAAGCCTAGGAAATGCCTCACCTGCTGTAGCGATGGCCAGGCAGCCTCACCCAGCTTATGCTGGTGCAGAACCCTGATGATGCTGCTGCCGGCTTTTGGGTCCTGCAAGCTGGCCTGCCCCGCCCGAGGGCAGCCTGAGTCATATCTCCTGCTAAGACCTGCCAAAAGCAACAGACACATATTTTCCTCTGCAATCTCAGGGAAGGTTTTCAGCTGAAATCTCAAGAGAGCCCAGCCATTTCACTCAAAATGGCCAATCTGTCTCATCAGCTCCTAAAGCCTTTCCACAGTCGGTTTAGCCTCAACACAGGGCAGAAACACTTGGCAGAGATTCCCCCCCCCAAAATAAAATGCTACCCAAAGAGTATTTGAGAGAGGCAGGACTGGGTGGACCCACAGCCTCTGCACAGAGCTGCAGCCCCAGCCCTTTTTCTTCTGAAACAGGGTCTCCCTAAATTGTTCAGGAAGAGCTCAAACTCTTTTCTCCTGCCTCAGCCTCCCAGAGCGCTGGGATTACAGGTGTATGTCACCATACCAGGCTTCAAATAGTAATTTTGGAGTGAAACTAAATATGATTTTGCAGGGTTCCCCAGAGTTTAGCCAAAGACACACAACAGCCCAGCACACTACAGAATTCTTCCCCATGTGGACTAGGAAGGCTGGAGTTGGGTTGGGTGACAATTTAAAAAACACATGATAAAAAATTTTAATACAGACTGTTTAGGGACACATATTAAAAATCCCATGTTAAAATAATATATTGAGGGGCCAGGGAAATAGCTCAGTAGAATAAGGCAAGTGCAAGGGCCTAAATTCAATCCCTGGTTCTGCAAAAAAATAAATAAAATAAAATAATATATTGACCGATTGTCAATCCTAAACCCTATCTGTTCTGGCAGTAGAAGGATCTAGTAGAATCTGGAATAAATCTAAATTAACTAGGTTACTTCTTGGGATATAAATCAATTATAACAAGATACAGCCCTGGAACACCAAGTTGTATCAGTGGATGGAATCTCAAGGCTCTAGCTTCTCTCCACAACCAATTCCTTTTTCTCAGAGACAATCACCACTTCCTCAGCTCCCCACCTATCTGTACAGCCTCAGGCTCAAGCTCTGGTAAACCTCAGAGGAGGAGAAAGAAGGAAATTGCTGCTCTCACAGCTGAAGGCAAAGACAGCTGAAGACTAAGGAGTTGGATGGTGGCGCCGGCCCGCAGGCATATAAATCTCAGCAATCTAAGAGGCCGAGGCAACAGAACCGGAGGTTGTAGCTCTGCGTGCTAAATTTACTTAGTGAGACCCTCAAAAAAAAAAAAAAAAAAAAAAAAAAGCAAGTGTTGCAGGTCAGAGCCAAGGCCATGGGTTCAATCCCCAGTACCACCAAAAAAAAAAAAAAAAGAAAAAGAAAAAAGCACTCAGCACCCAGACAGCCAGGAAAGTTAGGGTTCCTTCAAGCAGCCCTCAAAATACAAACTCCATTCACACCAGAGCCGTGAAAAGCAGGCAGCGGTGGTAATGGGGTCTGCTTCTTCCTGTCCCCTGGGGTGGGCTGAGGGGCGGCCTACTCAGGTGTCAGTCATCACCAGCCGACACCAGCGGGCCCCCGGGGCTCCTGGGAAAAGGGGCGCCCGTCCCCCCTCGTTCTCCGGCGCAAACAGGAAAGCAGAGGCAGGTGAGGCAATACCGGGGCCCTTCGCGCGGGGCTTCTTGGCCGCGGGCTCCGGCTCCCGCGGACTCCTCCTGCTCCTGAGGCGCACCACCACTTTGGGGGTCTCCTGGGTTTCTGGGCGCTTCCGGGGAATCATCGCGTCCTCGGAAGGAAGGAGCACTAAGCCCTACGCCGAGATCATGAGGTAGGACTGTGAGCCTCTGAGGAGAGAGGAGGCGACGACAAGGCCACTCGAGCTGCCACCGGTAGTCGCAAACTTCCCGCCAACAAGCCCAGGGCTTGTCAGCCACGAGCCCCGGCCCCTCCCCTTCCCTAAAGGCGTGGCGCGCGAGAGTCGGGTTGCCTGCGTGCGAGCGTGCGTGCGTGCTGTTGCGTGAGGGGCGGGGCCTGCGCTCCTAAACGGCGTGGAAAGTGTTGTTATTTTTCACACGAAGAACTTGGCTTCTGCGCTAGGTGTCGAGCTTGACGAAACTCGATTGCTGGTGTCTCCGCCCATAAAATATAAACATTGCCTAAATTATGGAAATAACCACATAGCTCCCTATGTTAGCCAATGAGGACTGCAGCAGTTTTGAGAGTCACAGCCTTAGCTTTATTTTGTAGATATAATTTTATTAGAGACACAAGAGAAGTGTGTGTGTGTGTGTTTTGTTTTGTTTTTGGCGGAACCAGGGATTGAACTCAGGCCCTTGCCTTTGCCAGGGAAGCACTTATTCTACTGAGCCATCGCCCCGGCCCTAAGAAGTGTTTTAAACGACGCTGTATACGTGTATCAGAACATCAGATGGTAACTCATAAATATGTATAATTTTATTAGTTTTTAAAATACACTTTAAAGCAATATTATGGAAGAGGAAAAACCTGTTTTTACATGTTCTGGGTCTGTGGTTGGGTCTAAGAATAAAACTGATGCAAGACAGAATCACAGGAAACAAATTTAATAGTTGTGTGTGGAATAGAAGACTCCAAAAGGAAAACAAAGACCCAGAGAGGCAGTTAGGCACCAGAGCTTCTACTCGTGCCCTTTTACACAAGAGCAATCAATCAACAGTGGAAGGTAGCAAGACAAAAAGGCACTGGCCCCAAAAGTATAAGGGGAAGTTAATGGAAGCTAAGGGTTATTGTATGGGTTTGCGTAGGTTGGTTTCAAACCTGGGTGCTCAATTGATAATGAGAATGTGCTCTTCCTGGGACAGGTATGGAGGCATCTTTGATTTTTATCATGAGGTATCTCCTGATCTGCCTTTACATGGACAGAGGGAGTTCACAACTGCTTCTGCATCTGCTGTTTCCCAAGTACCTTCAAGCTGGACATGACACCGCTTGCCTGTTACCCTAATGTCCTGGGCCAGCCTAGGCTCCATGGCGAGTCCAAGACCAGCCTGAACTGCACATCAAGATCTTGCCTCAAGAGAACATCAGGCCCCTTCAGGTCAAAATAACCACTGTGAAGGCCAGCCAGATAGCTCAGCAGACTAAAGCGCCTGCTTAGGCAGAGCACAGCGTCCTGGGTTTGATCCCCAGTGTGCCGTGTGGGCCCCGCCCTGGGGCATGCTGAAACTGGGTTTGGTGATGCATGCCTGTAATCCTGGCGCTTGGGAGGCTGAAAACAGGAGAATCACTACAAGTCCGATCTATATAGTGAGACCCTGTAGACCCTGTACTAAATACATTAAAAAATAAAATAAATAAATAACCAATATGAGCCAGGCATGGTGACATGCTCCTGTAATCTCACTGTTCTGAAGGCTGAAGTAGGAGGAATGCCAGGAGTTTGAAGCCAGCCTGGCCTATAAGCAAGACCCTGTCTCAAAAACAAACAAAAAATCCATACACTTTAATGCTGCCAACATGATAAGGGGGTAAGGGTACAACATCACTGAGTTGCAGGCCATGGAGCCCCCATGCTGTGAAACCCCTGGACAGATGTTTTGGAGCTCTTTGTGCTACTACTTTTCACATAAGGCATCATAAGGCAACTCATTCAAAAGCTGCTGGTGACAGCAAATTGAGGTCCCGTGTTCTCCCTGGAAGCCAGGCAAACCATGAACGTGACCCTATATGATGCCAGTTTCTTTGATCTGCAAAACAATAAATGGCTTTATTTAGGTGTTTTCTAGAAAAAGTGGTATACCACAGTGGAAAAACATTGTACTTAGACTGTGTGATCCTGGGGTCATCATTTCATTTTTTCCATGCTTTAGTTTCACCACCACAAAGTGAAGGGGGAAAGGTGTAGGTGGGCCTTTCCATCTCTCTCAGCTTGATCTCACAGCAATCCTCGTGCCTCAGCCTCCTGAGTGCTGGGATCACAGGTGTGCACCACCACACCTGGCCCCTCTGTGGTCTTGTGCGTGCTATAAAAGCCGCATATGGAAGCTTTCCACTCTAACCTCCCTGGAAGTTTCCATGTGGTAGAAACCATTTTTTTTTTTTTTTTTTTTTTTTTTTTGCAGGCTGATACATGATGGGTTCTGCTCAAGCAGTCTGTGAGGCCAAGCAGAGTGCTGAGTCTGCAGAAGCATCCAAAATCCACACCAGCAAGGCGTGCGGGCTTCCCACACACAGTCAGTGCATCCAGTGGTTTGCAAATGACAGCCTCGGAGATTCTGCAGAGCTTGCAGGGACAGAGGCTGAAATTCCTCCTGGAGGATGGGAAACAGGCTGTGGAGGACTCAGCCTTCAGAGTTCTTCTTCCTTGGCATCCCAATCCTTATTCAAATGCCCAAATATGACCAAATTCATAGATTATGGAAGCATGACTTTTCCCTCTGTGAATATTAAATATTAAAGTAAAAAATGTAATTTGAGGTTTAGATGCAGCTCAGTGGTAGAGTATGTGCTTACCATGCATCAGACTCTGGCCTGAGAAAATTGGGGGCAGTTGTAGAAGTGTCAGACATCTAATCATAACCCAAAACAAATTTATTCTGAGGGCCGGGGTTATGGCTCAGTGACACAAGTGCAGGGTCCTGACTTTGATTCCTGGTACCAAAAAAAAAAAAAAAAAAAGTCTCTGTCTTTCTCTCTCTCTCTCTCCTTTTGAGACAGAGTTGCACTATGTAGTCCAGGGTGGCCTCGAACTTGCTACATAGCCCAGGTTAGTCCCAAACTGACACAGATCTTCCTGCCTCAGCCTCCCTGCCAAGTGCTGGACCTTCTGTCTCTACTGTGGGGGATGAGGCAGCACCCACATCCTAAATCAGCGTCTGTCGTGAAATACCATCAGTACAGAGCACCAGGGCTCTTCTCCAGGCAGGTGGATCTGCACAGCAATTGTCCAGCTGCTTGTGCCACCTATGGGGCATGCTTTACAGTCTGTGAAGTGTTCTACAAATAGAAGTTGTTATGTAATCTCCCATGGATGTGCTGTTTACTGGTAAGATCTGATAAAGGTGATGAAGAAGTCTGGTGGGCTGAAAAATCCTCACCAGTCGCTATCTATCATGGATAAAACAGGGAGACCAGAGAATCAAAAAATGGGCTTCCCAGCTCTTCTTCATCTAGGTTTTGTCCCAGAAGGGTTGAAGACACCATATCCCGGTGATCCATGCGTATCTGTGTTTACAGCAGCACAATTCATAATAGCTAAATACTGGATGCTGCTGTGTCCATCAGCAGAAGAATGGATAAAGGAAATGTGGTATATATGCCCCAAAGAGTACTACTCTGCCATAAAGAAGGATAAATTGGAGCCATTGGTAGGGACATGGATGCATCTTGAGTCTGTCATGTTAAGTAAAATAAGCTAAATAAGAAGCTTAAATATGGCATGGTTTCTCTTAAAGGAGAAACCTGAAGCACAAGTAAAGAACAAAATAAAAGCTCGACAATAGGAAACAGGGAGGAAAGAGGATCTTTTGCAAAAGGGAAGGGACCAAAAGACGGGACTGGGACGGCAGGGTGGGCAGGGGTGAGAAAAGAATTCAGATGTGTGATGACACGCCCCACCCACTTCCCACAAGGACTGCAGTCACTGTGTCCTGCAAATGCGCTCCAGTGAAAATTAAGATTACCAGCTTCCATTGCCCCCTAAAATAAAAGGAAGCAAGGGCATTGGGGGCCAGCTCACTCTGCTGAAGCATAGTTATCTTCCAGGGACAAAGGCAGGAAGAAAGTGGCTCTGTGTGACACCAAGCTGTGCCCTATGGGCCCACGTCAGCAGGAAGGCGCATTCCTTCGCATTCCCCACTGCCCACGCCTCTTCCACAGCCCAGAGGTGGCACGTCCCCTTATTGTGACGCTGTAGCCAGATGACCAAACACTGCCCCAGGAACCCCTGAGCAGTTGTTTTCCATAGAGGGGCTGCTGGCATGGTGCTTGTTGGGAAGCGAGGAGCCCCATGGGTGGTGGGTGGTGTCCTAGCACAAACCCACACCCCTCCCGACACACTGAGTCCCAAGTGGCACCCTTGCCCACACATGTACCCTACATTCGCTCGTGCTCAACTACCACTTAGTCCTAATGTCAGTTTTGTCCTAATTAGAGGTCGTTGGCAGCCCTAGGGCTGCTGATCTATTTTTCAAAAGGCTCCTTTATGAAACTAGATTAAGGAAAGCTTTCTCCTTTTTAAGTGCAAGGAGCATTGCAAGAGATTTCTAAGGCGAACAGCTTTGGCCCTAGTTAGCCTGGCATAGTGGGGTGACCAGTAACCCCCATAAAGGTAGGCCTTCATCCTAATCCTCAGAATCTATCATTCTTACCTTGTTTTTTTTTTAAATAAATCTTATTTTTTAAACAAATTTATTTATTTATTTGTTTGTTTGTTTGTTTTGTGTGTGTGTGTGTGTGTGTGTGTGTGTGTGTGTGTGGCCAGCTCAGCCCACCAGGGGGCGGTGCTGGCTGGCATGTGGTGCTGGGGGATTGAACCGCAGTCCCTGTGCTTTGCTTAGCTTAGCTTGTTCTAAGTAGGTGCTTTAGACCACTGAGCTATCTCACCAGCCCTATCATTCTTACCTTGTTTGGGAGAAGGGTCTTTAGAGATGGTTTAAAAATGAGATGACCATTCTGGATTATCTGACTCTAAATCCAGTCGCAAGTATGCTTTTGATTTTTAAAGACTGGGTCTTGCTCTGTCATTCAGGTTGGCCTTCATGTAACTATGTAGTCCAGGCTGGCCTAGAATTTGTGACAATCCTCTTGCATCAGCCTCCCGAGTGCTGGGATTACAGGTATACACCCCCATGCCTGGAGCGAGTATGCTTTTAAAAGTGAGGCCAAAAAAAAAAAAAAAAAAGAATGAAGCCAGGCTGGCCAGATAGCCCAGTGGACTAAAGTGCCTGCTCAGGCAGAACTCAGTGGCTGGGGTTCAATCCCCAGCATGCCGTG